TGTTTCCCTTTGGTTTGCTTTTTTCTCCCCTGCCTTTGATTGTAAAATTTGCCTTATTCCACTTCTCCTGATTTTTAAGTTTATAGATCTTACTTATTTTCTTAAAATTTTTAATGCCTGTCTTTAAATTTTGTTTTAACAGAGTCTAAAATGACTCTGTGTCAGTATCATTCTCCAGAACAAAACCAGGACCCTCCCATGCTGGGGGTGAGGATGATCTGTTCCCCCTCCTCTCATCTTTTGCGGTTGTTATTGTCTAGAATTGTGCCATCCAATATGGCAGCCATTAACTTCATGAGTCTATTAGCCAATGAGAAAGAATGAGCTGAGTTTTTAAAATTTTAGTTTTAATCAATTTAAATTTAAGAACTGGTATTAGATTCCGTTATGGAAAATTTTAAATATGTTTGCAACAACCTGGATATGTGGAACTACTATAAACTTTATGATCTCTAACATATTTAGAGGGTCAGGTACTCCTGGTAAAAACTTAACATTTGAATGGAGGTGTGCTGTAAGTATAAAATACATGCCAGGTTTTAAAGATTTAGTACCAAGAAAATTTGTGAAATATCTCATTAATAATTTGGATATTGATAACATGTTGAAATGATAAAACTTCAGATATGTTCAGTTAAATAAAATCTATTATTACAATTAATTTCACCCATGTCTTTTAACTTTCTTCATGTGGCTGTTAGAAAATCTAAAATTACGTGTTATAATTCTATAGGGCAACACTAATCTAGGATTTCTACTGAAATATTTTTAAACACACAAAAAATACGTATTAGTATCTACAGGTAATAATTAGATTTGCCAATATATTTTATACATTTTTTCTTACATATTTTCCTTCCGTCTTAATTCACTTTTCTTTTCGCTGAATTTGATTATTTAGTACTAGATCCTTGTTGAAAGAAAGGCTCTGTTGGTAGTAAACTCTCTTAGTATTTGTATTGACATGTCTTGATTTTTGCCTTCACTCTAGAATGATAGCTGGGTACAGGATTCTAGGCTGACAGTTTTCCTCAACTCCTTGAACGTTGCTTTGTAGTTTCTTATAATTTATAGATGCTTGAGAAGTAATTCTTTGAAAATAGTTCATCTTTTAATTCTGATAACTTTTCAAGATTTTTCTCATTTTCCTTGACCTTCTGTAGTTTTATTATGTCTCATTGTATCTGTTTGCTTTGTTTTGTTTCCAGTTTGTTCCTTGGTGTGAGTTTCCCATCTGGAGATTCATGACTTCAGTTTAGGAAAGTTCTCACCCATTATGCCTTTGTTAGTATCTCTGTGCTCTGCTTCTGAATGTCTATGAGATACAGGTGGAACCTCGCAGTTAGCCACCATGTCTCCTAACCTCTCTTTCATATTACCTCTTTATTGCTCTTTCCTACATTCTGGGCTAATTCCTCAGCAGTCCGTGACAATTCATTATTTCTTCTACTGTCCCTGGTCTAGAGTTTATGTTTTGAGGTTTTTTATTTCAATGAGCCTACTTTAATTTTCAGAACTTGTAATTTTAAAAAGGTCAACTACCTGTTGATTTTTGCCAAATTTCATGCTCTTGGCTGACTTTGGGTCTCCATTGGGTCACCAGGTGTTCAGTGATCCATCTGCCTGCCAACTTGCCCTCAGATCATCTCTCAGTGGTGCTTCTGACTCCCCCAGAATCCCTGCTCTGCCTTCCATCAGGCCACCACGTGTGTCCCCCACCCCTTGCTGGCTCTCAGCTCGGTCCCCATCTACTTGGGTGCTGAAGGAGCCTCAGATATGTGAATGAGATCTTTTGGTTAGACCATGGTTCTCTGCCCTTTTGACCATTGTGGGTTCCAACTGGATTAGCATAAGCCTGCCCTGTCTGGGGGAGTGGGGCAAGACCCCTCTGCCTTGGAATTCCCCACATCCCGTCTAACTCACTTACCTTCCCGTCAGCCCACAAGGTGGTTGAAGTACATCTGAGATCATCTATGTACACCCCCAAGCCTCATTTCTCCCTTTTCTTTGTTTTTATTCCTCAAGATCCCTTGGGACAAAATCTTCGGGCTTCTCTTTTAATCCCTTCATACCATGATCTCCTGCTCTCTCCAGCCTCATGGCTAAGTGTTAACGGTGGACAGAGTGTGTGATAAGACAGCCGGAAACGGTAGGTCTTTCCGAAATCGTGTACCTGTTACTCTGTGTAACAAAAAACAGACGACAAGGTTGCAGGGACTCTGGTTATAAGGAAATGTGCTCAACCTCAAGGCCCTGTTCAATATGATATATCATATTTGATAATTCAGGAGACATATATTTTGTTGTACAACATCTGTATAGCGATTCAGTCTGAAATGCTCTCCCCAACATCTGGCTTGAACATAAACATGACCCTCTGAGTTAGATGTCATTATCATCTATCAGATGAAGAGACTGACCACAGTGATGAACTCACTGCCCCAGATCACACGTCTCCTAGGTAGAGAGCCACGACTGAAGCCAGTGTCTTGACCTGCATGTGTGCCACCGTACCCCACTGATCCCAGGGTGAAGGTCACTTGGGTCGTTCCTGACTTGCAGTTTTCTATGTGCTTGTTCATAGAATGCTCTTATGGAGAGGTTGAGCTTTGCTGGAGTTGTATCTCTTCCCCTCTCCAGTCTTAGGTTCATTCGTTCATGCATCTGAAAGTATTAACATTTTCAGTTACACCTGCTTTTTTGGTGGGGTCTTTCCAAGTTTCTCTTTTTCAATAATTTGCATCCAATCCAAACATTGTTAGGTCAGTGTTTAGAGAGTGATCTTTCAGTCATATTGCTGTCACAAATCCACTGCCTAGAAGAATATTGAACGTAATGTCACTAGCATCCGTTTAAGCAAATCTTTTAATGTCAGGTAACATCAGTAGTAGCCGTGTGGTGCTTCTTTAAAAGCCTATCAGTTACAGCTGGAGGGTACCCCAGATTGCATCTACTGAGTGGCCTGATAAGTGAGAATGAGAGCCCAGCACTTTAGACAACAGAGGATCTGGTTTGTGGCCAGAAGGGTCAAGTTTGTAACCGTGGAAATGAGCAAAGCCAAATGGCTCACCTAGGGATTCGATTTTCTAAGATTTTTCTGTCTCTAACTCAGCTGGCTGATATAGCATGAGATCTGTGAGCCAGACATTCTTTGCAAGAGAGTGGGGACAGAAAAGAGAAGTTCTGGGACTCCACCCCGTCCCCCGCCACCAGTCCAGTGGTTAAGACTCTGAGCTTCCACTGCAGGGGGCACGGGTTTGATCCCTGGTTAGGGAACTAGGATCCTGCATGCCATGCAGCATGGCCAAAAAATAATAAATAAATAAATAGAAATTTGCACCAAGAAATTTAACACAATTTAAAAAAAAAAGAAAGAAAGAAAAGAGAAGCTTTGTTTTCCTTGATGATAGAGAAGATTCCATGGATGAGGGAAAAATAATTGGTTGATTTGAGAAACAGGAGAGAGCTCCATGGATCTGGGAGGTTCTGAAGAGAGATGAATCGGTAGACGGTGGGTAACAGTGGGTAACAGGCAGCCCCAGGGAAGAAGAGAAGGTTTACTGTGTCTTGAAGAAAAGCTTTTGTCTTTCTCAAAGTCTTTATCTACTTCTGACCTATGTTTTACATATTACTTTATAATCTAAGTGTTTATTTTCTTTGGCTGTGCTGTGTGACCTTAGTTCCCTGACCGGGGATCGAACCCGGGCCCTTGGCAGTGAAAGCACAGAGTCCTAACCACTGGACCACCAGGGATTTCCCTATAATCTAAGTGTTTAAATTTAGCCTTAACTTTATGTGGACTTTCCATGTAGTCACATAGCCTAACTATTTTTAATCGCATTGCATTAGTAATTATATCGTTTATTTAAATATTTCTCTGTTATTTATTGATCATGTGAGTTGTTTCTAGTTATTTCATATTAGAAACAGTACAAACAAAACCGTATTTTTACAAAGTCTCTTTCTTTGAGTCTTCATGCCAAAATTGGAATTACTGGGTCATTATATGATTAGTCCTAAGTGTCTTTTTCATATTGCCAGGATGTTCTCTGAAAATATTATATTAATTTACAGTGTCACCAACCCCAGCAAACAGTGGGGTTTGAATGTTTTTCTCATTTTATCAGATGAGGCGTTACCGCATAGCTGCTTTATTTTCCCAAGCGAAACATTTGTGCCAAATGTCATTTGCTCTTTGTATGTTTTCACCCTGGGAACTCCGTTCCTATCTTGTGTTAAATAGTTTTAATTTTCTAATTAGTTGAATAGTTTTTATCTTATTTATTGTCTTTAGCCAATAAAAATATATTGGGATAATTGATGTGTCTCATAAATGTAAGTGTATTTCCCCCGTTGGGAGTCAGGTTTGAGCTGTCGTGAGAGTGGGAGGGTGCCTCCCCCCGGGGGGCGGGGGATGGATCAAAATCAGGAAAGAAATCGGCTGGCGTGGCCGGGCGCTGGGCCATCCTACCGAGGCTGGGAGTGTGGGAGAGAGCCTGGAGCTGACGATGGAAAAATAGGAACTCACGATAAATGTATCAAGTCGTATCAAGAAATGGGCTAGAAATCAAAGCTAGGCGAGTATGGGGTGAAAGTACGCTTTTGCGCTTGGGTTAGGTTTTCCCTGCTCTCACCTTAGGGAAACAAAGTGACTGGAACATGTGTTGGGTCCCAGGCACCCCTGCTGCTGACTGCTGGGTCGCTGTTCTTTACCGCGCAGCAAGAGATCGATGAAAATTCCTTAGAGTGAATGTGCATTGAGAACGGGCTCAGATCAGTTCTTGCAGTACTTCCTGGTATAATCTTAGAGCAGTTATGCAGATAAATGCAGTGTGTGTGTGTGTGTGCGTGTGTGTGTGTGTGTGTGTGTGTGTGTGAAAGTGTGTGAAACATATCCTCTTACAAACTTACTTTTCCCTGCAGAATATCGTTGGCTTATGTGGTCTTTTAATATGCATTTTCCAATTTAAATACAATTCACCGAAATTCTTTCTTTCTAGTCTCCAGAAAACCCAGAGGGCAAGGATGGCTCCAAAGTAACTAAACAGGAGGTGAGTGTATCTTTGAAATCCTGTATTATTAACTGGAATTTTTAATATCATTATGATGGTCTACATCTGAATGAATACTCTTCGAAACCAGATTGTTGAGACGACATAAACCAGAGATAAAAGTGTGGCTGTGTAGCCTCTCTTAGCCTGGATAGATTTCAGTTAGGGGCACTCATGAGGCATTTTCCACTTGCTATGTTGTTTATGTTTCTACCTGTTGGCGCTGCTGTCTGTTAAAAGGGATACTGAGAATTCCTTCTGGGCAAGGAGCGAGATAATAGGTAAATTCATCAAGGAGAACAAAGTCGGCCTTTCACAGCAAGGAAATGAAAGACTTGATTTAATAAATTCTCTGCTCCGGTGAGTGAACTATAGATTACTTTTTGGGTTCTGAATATTTGCCTAAAAGGAGTCATCTCTAAAGTCAAAAACTATGAAGGATACATAAAATGTCAAAATATTAAAGTTTTTTTTTAATCAGGAAAATTCTTAGGGTTTGGGATAGTTAGACAATAAGTCAAAGAAGCTCTGTATAAAATACAGAAATCTCCAGAAAGCTAGGAAGAGGTGCTTGCATTTGACCTTCCGTGGTCCTATCGTGAACTTCTAAAAGGAGATGAGCTAAAAAAGCAGCCAGTGAGATGGTAATTGTGATGACAGCCATTCCCTTTTGCACAGAGCTTTACAGTGTGTGGAATCCTTGAACTTATAACCTAAAAGGGGTCATGGGAGAGACAAAAACAATATCTAGTTACGGTTTCTTTGATTGGGTGACTCATACTGTGTTAATAATTCAGAGGTTGTCATGATAGCAAAACCCCTACACACGATTTGTACAAGGAAGTTCGTTCTGCCGAATGGAAAATCTTTAACGGAATCTGTAAAGAAATCATTTAAAAGCAAAACAAACAGAACTGCCGATAGCCAAGTCCCCACCATCCATTTACCCAGTAGTCAGTGTCTAACATAGAGTTTGGGAGGTGAAGTTGGTGATCCAAAGTAAGGTCACTAAACAAATGCTTAGAACCAACCGAAAAATGTTATCATACCAAAGTTCAAGTGCTTGAATTTTCTTGAAAATGGCAAAATACAATTTGTAGGACAGTTGGCTAAGTGTAGTACCCCCTTAATGTTTTTAGATTGGGGCACAAAATGCATTTGGGTTTCTCCTCAGGGACCGCTATTTAAGTTGATTTGACAGTCAGAAAACCTAGAAACCATTACACACAGCAGGTCTTGGGTAGTGAAAACAGCCTTTCCCTCCCTTCCACACTGAAAACCATCAAGCTGGTTGGAATATATGTAAAAGATTTTTGCTTACACACCTGTCTTATGCATATTCTTTTATACCCCAGAATTTTTATTATATTTTTACATTATTACTTCTAATATTTTATCTGATTACATGTATTACCTTATTGCTAACAAAAGTCATTCCTAGAAAAGACTCTTTTCCTGTCCGTTAAGCCAACACCAGATTAAAACTTGTGATTTGCCTTCAGGACACCAACATAGTTGTTTGAAAACGGACAAGGTCAGTTAGTTGGTGTTGCTTTGGGGTAAGAACTGTCTGACCGTATATTGATTGATTTTTTTTCCCCCAGTGAAGTGACTGAATTTTCTAGTCATGAGTGTGCACAGCCTAGGCTACAGCCAATAGATATCAGTTACAAAGGGGGATCCCCTTTTGAAAATCATCTTCCACGCCATGATATTTGAAGGGCATAGTGCAGAGTATAGTATCCGGACGATAAATGACCAAAAGAATATGCTACAGTCATTACACTGGGCAGCTTTCAAAGCCCTTTCACCTCCATTGTTTGATCTGATCCTTAAAATCACCCTGGAATGAGGGCAGAGAGCCTTTCAGCATTTTCAGAGAGACATTCCAACCAAAGCAAACAAAAAAATGTAGGGAGCGCGTGAACGCACCTGGCTGCACAGATTCCACAGTGAGCAAAAGGAGCAAAAGTCTCTGCCTTCATGGAGCTTCCGTTGTAGTAGGGGGAAAGAGACAGTAAATAAAAAGTGACTGAAAATTTGCTATGAAGAAAAAGAAAGCAATGAGAGAGAGTAATTTATGTCAGAGAAGCGCTGTTTTGGTCAACACGTGGGAGTTATTATCCCCATTTGAAGAGAGCAAACAAGGTACGCAGAGAAATACGTGATTTTTCCCAGGTGTCACAACTTGTAAATTGCAGAATCAGGAAAGACGTCTGCATCTTCTGACTCAAAATCCCCTATCCTCAAGCCCCTTTGGGGGTCATCATAAAAATCTGGTCATGGGACTTCCCTGGCGTTCCAGTAGTTAAGACTCCGCACTCCCGATGCAGGGGGCATGGGTTCGATGCCTGGTCAGGGAAGTAAGATCCCGCGTGCCGCAGGACACAGCCAAAAAAAAAAAAAAAAATCTGATCACCCAGTGCCTTTTCTCTGTCTTCATTCTCCAGCCAAAGCCCTGATACACGTCTTTCTTGCCCCACTTCCCAGTTTTGCAAAGAAGGGAAATTCTAATTAGCTCTTCATTTGGTTTTGAAAGTTAAAAGCAACTTGACTTGTGGGCTTTGCTTGGTACATGGTGCAGATCAGAAGCATTAAGAAATCTCATAAAAATAAATATGCTTCTGAATTCCAATGGAATAGCCCATATGTTTCAAGCAGTATTCAGCAAAGTCCAGTGATTCTACTTGCATCTAGCCCCGCCCAGGGAATTTTGTCATATTGAGATTAGACTTCTATGTTGCTTTTGCAACCAGGACATTAAAGTGAAAGACTCCACGTCTTTCATAGTAGCCTTCACTGTAATTTTCTCCAGCCCGGGGAATTACCAGGTAATCAATAAATGCTTACTGAATAATACCATAGTGCCCAGCACCTGTGTACCACAGTGACAAACCCTCACATTGTTTCTGTAACTTTTAGCGATCTGTCATTCTAAAAACCTTCCTCTTTTCCCTTAGAACTGCTCTTTTGGCCACTTTTCCTGAGGACTCACAGTCAACAGATGGAGAGAAATTCTCTCTTTTTTTTTTTTAAATTGAAGTATAGTTGATTTACAGTATTGTGTTAGTTTCAGGTGCATACAAAGTGATTCGGTTATACACATATATGTATATATCTGTATTCTTTTCTTTAAATTCATTTCCATTGTAGTTTATTACAGGATATTGAATATAGTTCCCTGTGCGCTACAGTAAATCCTTGTTGTTTCTCAGGAGAAATTCTTATCTTTTTTTTCATAGTAGTTCTGCCCCACAGCCTGAGTCTTAAATGAATACTTTGAATTCTAGTGTTTGAAAGAGGGAAAGAGAGCAGTCTGGTCTATTTTATATCTGGCATATATGGTCCAATCATTTATAGATTGGAAGGCTTGTGAAAGCTGATGAAACGTTCCAGGAAGGTGTATACACTGGGTGCATAATCAGTACTGCTGACTGTGAGTGGAGGATCGTTTCAGCCTCCTGTGTCTGCAGTGAAAAAGAAAATCTCTTAGGATGGTTACCGAAAAGGAACGTTTAAGAGAAGTCTCTTTTTTTTTAGCATAGAAAGAAGAGCTGGTAAATATTAGCAGGAAGTCATAAAATCATTTTACAGTAAAACGTGGTTTTTAGAGACGGCTTGGTTTAGACAGCCTAGAAAGGCAAACTCTGTTTTTGCATTAATTTCCTAGGCTTTTTATTTTGGAACTCTTGTACTCGACCTGAATTATGAAAAGGTAGCGAGTCTTTTGGATCGGAACAGCTTGCAGGCCCTGCAGAGTGGGGCTTGGTTGGAAGTCTCTCTGGAAATCCCGGGGGGGGGGGGGGGGGGGGGGGGGGGGGGCCGGGGGTGGGGGGGGGGGATTTTTCAGAGGATTTGGCTTCGCTTCAATGAGATCTTATTCAGGACAGCTTGTTGGTGGATAGGGGAGCCCTTGTAAGTAATGGTTAACCTGTTGGCCGCTTTTCAGGCTCCAAACTGGATGGTTAGTGAGGAGTGGTCTTGGCATTGCACCCTGCAGGCTCACACTTGCATGTCTGGCGTGTCTGACCACTCCATTCACCTCCACGTTTTACTGAGGGCTCCCGCTACAGAAGTGCAAGAGAAGGGGGTCCTGTGCAGATGGGGTACAGATAGGAAGGCCAACCGGGCACACGCAGGGCGACACCAAGTGGGGGCGGGGGGATTCAGACAAGACCTGTTCAACCCCCTTTAGCAGAGAGGCCGCCGATTTTCCTCTCAGAGGGCGTCTTTCTGAGCACTCCTCTGCCGGCTGCACTTTCCTCTTGAGGCGGTGTGGGCGGTTCTTGAAGCCACACAGAAGCGTTAAGCTGAGCTCTGGTTGGTAATTGGAGGATGCTCTCCAGCATGCCCAGAAAGCATACTGAAGAAGCACAGATTACCCACTTGCTGCCCGGTTTAAGTGATAATGCTGCCTCTTCTTCGGGGATACCCAGCACCTGCAATGAACCAGCCTGGGAAAGGCACTACGGGATTTGGGTTCTGGTTCCCAGCATGGTTATTGCTTCCAATTATCCCATGATGATCCAGTAGACGCCGTGGTGATTCCCATGGAGTATCTGGTCCAGGCCCCCATACTGTGCACCCCTTACCCCTGCAGTGACGCGTCACAGCCGACACGTAGCCTGCGCAGCCTCCCCGAGTCGGCACGTTCTGCCTACCAGCCTGAAGTCCAGCTCAGCTTTGCACACGACCCCAAGGTTAAAATTATTCCAGAAGGCTCTGGCCTTTCATTTCCTTCTGTAGTTTAAAGAAAGATGACTTTAGCTTCCTCTAGCTATTTTCAGCGAGAAAGTTCTTCGATGTGGAGATGGCAAGAAACATTTCTTTGACTTTGGCCTTGACCAGCTGACCTAGACTGACAAGAGAATTCCATGATTCCTTGCAATCCTGAGCCAGGCTCCTGCTGACCCCCTTAAAAGATTATTTGAGACATTTCAGCTCTTGTAATGAGGCTAAGTCTGCCTAAGGCAGCAAATTAGGGAAAAGCTTGAGTTTATTTTTTTCAGCCAGTATTCTTGCATATCCACTGTATGTTAGGTGGTACACTATTCTACTGGAGATAGAGCAGTGAACAAAACAGGCAGAAAGTGTGGAGTATTTGCTTCCGGAACACTTTTAAAGAAAGGCAGTTGTACTTTTAGAAAGTGAAATCCCTCGGGGAGCCATCTTTTGCTGGTGGGAAGTAGAATATCAATTCTATACGCGTGTTTCTGAAATGCCTAGAACGGTTCTGCTCTTAGAAATTTTCTTTGCCATGTCGTTTGCTGTTAACTTGCACCAATCCTTGAAGAAAAGATTTCCTTGAAAAATACCCACCTCAACCCAGTTTCTCTAAATTTGTAAACTTCTAAATGAAAAGATGAGATTATTAAAATGATTATTTACATCTTTCAACGTGTGCATTTCGTAGATAGATAAATGTGTTTATTTTGTTACAGGTAAAAGGAAGCCTTGCTTGTTAACTGCCTAAGATTTGGAGTCATTCTCTTTTCTAATGTAGTAACCAGGGAGGGGACTCCTGCTATTTCGGTTTCTGCACAATTATATAAGTCTCGTTTAGTATTAATTTATAAGCTTTAGTTCCATTTGTAAGGAGCAAGAGTCAGACTGGACTGGTTCTTAAATAGCACCTCCGTGCCCCTGTTGCCAGTTTTATCACAAAAGTTTGGGTCGGAGCCTAAATGTGTCTTCTTTGCCTTTTCCTTGTCCACCCCACCCTCTACTGCAAAAGGCCATTTCTTTGAACCGTGAGCCTACACCTCTTTAGGAACACGTCCTCTGGAATATTCCAGTGCCCAGGGCACTTGGGGGTATGTTTCACTGTGCTCACCTGGGGAGGGTAATGGGACTCCTGCATTCTATTCTTTCAACAAAGTAAGACAGTAAGAATGAGTTTTTAAAACTCAACTTGGTTGTGTATAATCACCAAAACATATGTGTTTTTTTGTTTTCGTTTCCTTTGTAGCCCACCAGACGGTCTGCCAGGTTGTCAGCGGTGAGTACTTTGGACCCCGTTGTTGTTAGCTCTTATGAATACACGTTCCCTCGGTCCAGAGCAAAGCAGCAAAAGGAAGATGAAGGTGGTGTTTCCCTTGAGCTTTTTTTATTTCCTTTTTAGAAATAACCTGGGTCAGAATTTCTAGCAACTTTGACCGGTGTTGCCAGCAGCTCACTTGATCAGACACGTTGGTGAAAAACAGTGGCCAGCCCGTTTAGCAAGCGTTCAAAGCCCAGGAAGCTGTTTGATATCACTGGGTCCCTGAGATGGAGAATTAGGTTAGCAAAGTCCTAGCCTCCCATTCTACACCTGATCTGCTAAAGGAGTCAAGAATTCCAGTTCTCCCTCCGTGACTCATACCTTAGTCAGGACGTTCTGAAGGTTGTCTGAATCCATAGGCTCTAGCCTCACTTCAGAACTAGAGAATCTGAAACAGTAACGATTTCCACTCTGCCACCTGGGGTCTCCCTCTGTGGGCCAGGCCCAGGGAAAGGACAAGGGTTAAGATCGTTAAAGCTGGGACCGGCTGGTGTGAGCGAGCCTTGGCCAGGAGTGTGCCTCAGCCCTTGTCACCACGCTGTGCTCCCGGCTGGCTCCAGTACTCATCCCTGCCGCCCTGCTCATGCACCAGTACTCCTTCTGCCAAGACAGGGCAGCCTGCCTCTCTGGTGGAGGACTTGGGTTACTTTATGTGCACTGCCCACTGACACGCAGAGGGAAAGGCATTGACCTCTTGGCTGACGGCACGTATCCCGATACTAGATAGTCCGGGAGCTGCAAGCTACTATGACCTTCAGGGAAGCATGGATTCCCTCCTCAGCCCACACCTGTGCCTGGCACAGTGTAGGGAATCCAAGCTGAAATGGATATTGGAAACTTGTTTCTGAATTTAAAAAAAAATACTAGTTTCTGGCTTTTCTTCTCAATATATTTTTGCTAAACTTGTTTCACAAATTAAAAAGTATATATAGCAGTTACTGGCTTTTCTTCTCAATATATTTTTGCTAAACTTGTTTCACACATTGAAATAAAAAAAAAAAAAGAAGCAGGTACTGGGACCATTCACAAGTTCAGAAGTATAGCCAGGTTTGGGTTGGCTGAGCCAGTGTTTCACATGAGTCCCAACGTAGGAAGCAATGTCAGAGTTACCGGGAAGGTTAAGACCTGGGAGGTGTGGTCGTGTGTGTACCCAGTTAATCCAGATTCTGCCAGAACCCCTCAAAGGTGGTGTGCTTGTCCAGTGGTATAATTTTCACTGTGGTTGAGAAGTTAAGTTTTAACTCTTTTGTAGATTTCACTGTAGATTATACTGAAAGCCATTGTATTCCATGGATATCTAGCCTTTCAAGGGGGTAGATCATGGAAGTCAAAAGCCAAATTTTAAAATAAGGCGTTTCCTGAACACCAGGGACCAGCAATATAATACCTTCCACTGACATCGTTGCCCATGGTGCTGACGCAGAGCCTCCTTGGAAGCCAGTGGGATTACAGACTACAAAACCTCATCATTTCCTGTCCCATCAAAACACGAATGCTGAGTTTGGGGGAAAGGTCTGTCTTAACAGAAAATAATATGAAAGGACATCATTTGCTGTAAATTGAGAAAACAAGGGCATGTTAATACACTATATCAAAGCCCAAAATAAAATTTTTTTAATCCTGAAAATTTAGGAGCCATGCAAGCTGATAGATGTGGGGAGCAAGGTACAAATATACAGTGGTCAGAATGTTAAGGAAAATAGTCCCTACTTTTCAAGCTCCACTTTCTTTTTTTTTTTTTTGCGGTACGCGGGCCTCTCACTGTTGTGGCCTCTCCCGTTGCGGAACAGATGCGCAGGCTCAGCGGCCATGGCTCATGGGCCCAGCCGCTCCGCGGCATGTGGGATCTTCCCAGACCGGGGCACGAACCCACGTCCCCTGCATCGGCAGGCGGACTCTCAACCACTGCGCCACCAGGGAAGCCCTCCACTTTCTTTTTTTATTTGAGAGGTCGTGTCCAATGATCAATCTTCCAGAACTGAACTGACTACAATTTCAGTTTATGCCCTTAATGGAAAGGGCCAGGTTCTATATGATCCTGAACATCTGGAGGTATTGGGGAGGAACATGTGTTTTTTTCTCCACGTGGGGGCAGAGGGGGACTCTGGGCAGTGTTCTCTATTTAAAAACCATTCTCCCTGGTGCCAGGAAAGAAGTGTAATTTTTTCCTAACTCAACGAGAGAAATATTTGCCCTAAGGTAGCTATAGAAAACCAGAGGTTTACACTTCCGTGGTATCCCCATGTGCCCATCTCAGACCCCTAGGAAGCAGCCGGGCTGAAGCCCTGCGTGAAGGGGCCTGGGGCCACGGGACAGGTGGGCACTGCTCCCAGGAGTGGGGAGAGCCACACGAGGCAAGAGAAAAAGAGGTGCCCGCTGGGCTCTTTGGCTAATAGGGTCTGTGAAAGATCTTGAACTTCGGGAGCTAACAGTGGACATTGTATCATTATAATTGTGTTCTTAATAACAAGCTCTAGGGACAAATGAGCCCAGGGTCTGGATGGGCAGGAGAGTCTCCTCACCTTGAGCTGGCCTTGGAAGAGGAAAGTAGGAAGAAGCTCAGCCTTCAACAAGCGCTTGAAACCTGCATCGGAGGTGGGAGGATTTGGAACTGGCTTTGGAACACTTCACGGGCAGCTCTCTTATTCCCAATGGGCTTTTGCCTGTGATGGTGCTAGGATTTCTAGACTGTTCGGGAGGCCGGTGTCCCTGAATTCACCGAGTCATTTGGCCAAGGGCCTGAGTCGTTCCTCTTGCTGCTGTGTTGTGATAAAAGGAAATACAGAGACATGGGACACAGAAGCTTAAATCTGTTCCCAGAGAGCTGTTCTGGCCCGGGGAATAGTTGGCTTTCAGATCTCACCTGCCATTCACTTGAGAACCCAGGATGAAAATAGTTATGAAATGTGGAGGTCTTTTTGCTGCTACCTGATGCTGAAAATAGGACGACATATTTTTTTGAAATGAACATCATAGGCAAAATGGACTGTCTTTAGCAGTCTTGTCGCTGTTCCTTTTGGTGCCGAGGGTTGTCTTTTTTCAGTATTTGTATAACTTAATTTGTCTTTGCAGAAACCAGCTCCACCAAAACCTGAACCTAAACCAAGAAAAACATCTGCTAAGGTAAGAGGTGGTCCCCCGCCCCACTTTGGCTTTTTCAGCAGTGAATAAATTAAAATCCCATATCCCAGAGTCATCCGAGGCACGAGGACATTTTATGATCCAGGCTCAACGTACAGACTGGAAAACTTCCACCAGCTACAGACAGGCTTTCTCCGAAGGCAGAGAGCACAAACTTTATGTTTCACTGGGAGTGTGTTTTCCGTTTGGTCCGTAAAGCGAAGGAGGTCAGAGCGTGTTGGCGTGAGAAGCCTCATGTCCAAGGCGGGGTTTGGTAGCTGCCTCGAGAACATGCCGTTCAGGTGGGGCTCAGAAGGGGTGAGCCCGGGCCCGGGCGACACTGCTGCCAACAGCTGGAGGCGTGGGGAGGGGCTTCTGACTTCACGTAACTGATCTGAGGAGGTCAGTCTGAGGACTAATAATAATTCCTATAATAGTCAATACCAGCAGATAATTAATACCGGCAAACAGTTACGTGGTGCTTATCCTATGCATAGACCCTCCCGTCAGCCCCACTGAGGTAGATACACGTATCCCGTTTGGCAGATGAGGAAACTGCGGCACAGAACTATGAAGAAATTTACCCCCAAATGGCCTTTCTGTACCCTGCCCTCCAGAGCGTCGTCCCTTGCTGTGAATTTTTTGAAACGATGTGTATGTATCATGGTATGAGTAGGCAGTTCGGAAGCGGAACTCATTTCTGTGGCTTGGTTCTTTTTATTTTTTTTACTTTTTGGCCGCGCCGGCACAGCTTGTGGGATCTTAGTTCCCTGACCAGGGATCGAACCCGTGCCCCCTGCAGTGGAAGCGCAGAGTCTTAACCACTGGACCGCCAGGGAAGTCCCAGCTTGGTCTTAAAATCAGGAATTTTTCTTCCTCTGGGCCTTCCTTTTAAGCGCTTTCTCAGCTTTCTTGTCACTTAAGCCCCAGGTCCCCATGCGCAGTGTTCCTCTTGCTGGGTCTGCCCCGGCTTCACCACGTCCCCCTGCTGCTACTTCCCCATGGCAGAGCCACTTCTCACTTTAGCAAGAGACAGTGCTCTCCAAAGACACACACGAGGGGAAATCAAAGTCCACTGGATTTTCTAAGCCGCGTGTTACATGTTCATGGAGCCTCAGTGGAACTCACTCAGAGCTCAGGGGAACCGGGTTTCCATTTTCCCCTGAAAGCCACCACATTGGCCTTGCTCGTGTTTCCCCCTGTGCTTGGACGGAGGCCGGCTGAGTTTGCACAACATCACACCGTGTCTAACACACTCTGTTTCCCTGTGCTTTGATCCCCTGTTAGAAAGAACTGGCAACAAAGGTTAACAAAGGTGCGAAAGGGGAGAAGGAGGAAAAGCAAGAAGCTGGAAAGGAAGGTACTGCACCATCTGAAAACGGTGACACTAAAGCAGAAGAGGTACTTTCCCGAAATACCTCCCGCTGATTGAATCAGTGTCTTGAAAGCAATTGCTCGATCCTTCAGCCGGCGACCGCATGTTCATAACGTCTCTCTTTATTGCCTGTAATGTTATTGCAGATCCACATCTCTCGCTCAACTGTTAATGTCTCAGCCTCCAGAGGTACCCCACCCAGCACACTGTCAGTAAAGGGGCAGATTGAAACAGTGAGAGTTAAGGGTACAGTAGAAAATTCCGCACGTTTGCAGTGACTAGCATCAGATAGTAGTGTGGTGTTCTTTTTATCGTGAACCGAGGGAGCTCACAGGTAAAGCTTCCGTGGTCGTTTGCAAAGCAGAAAGCAATAAAGGCAGCCAAGCGTTTGTGTCCTATTTTCCTGCCTTGTCTGTATTACACCCAGAGTTGAAGTCGGTTTTGCAGTAGAGCTGCTAAAAAACAGATGTTCCGAAGTGTGTGTGTCGGTGGGGTAGAATCTTCTTTGGCTTATAGTTGTTTTAATAGTAACTCTATCTTTTTTGTCTTCCGTTCTTTCTCCACAGGCACAGAAAACTGAATCTGTAAACGAGGGAGAATGAATTGTCATGAAAATTGGGGTTGATTTTATGTACCTCTTGGGACAACTTTTAAAAGCTATTTTTACCGAGTATTTTGTAAATGCTAATTTTTTAGGACTCTACTAGTTGGCATACAAAAATATATAAGGATGGACATTTTACCTTCTTGTAGTCATGCTTTTTGGAAATTTCCGTCATCCTTGAGTAAAATAAATACCAATTTAATATTGGAAGCTGTCTGTAAAATTGATTCAGCATTCCATGCACTTGCTTTAAAAATTTAGTCCTGTGCATACTGTGGTGTTTTTACTGTGTGTATTTGAATTTTTTCATGCAGTTTTTCTAGAGCAATAATCAGTGGTGCTTTTGTACCTAGGTTTTATGTGATTTTAATGAAACGTGGATAGTTGTGGCCACCTGCTGACTATTTGTGGTTTAAAATAAAAGGTTTTCCTGCCTGCAAAATACCTGCCTCTTAGTAGTGTCTTTGCTAAATTTAGGCAGTGTTTCATTTTTTTGTTGCAGAAGATGTAAAGAATTTCTACAGTCTGTTCTGTGATGGTCTCTCGAATAAGTCAAGTAGGATTGTTTCTTAATTTTCTGCCCTTTAAAAATGTTATTTTAATAAAATCATCTATGAGTGCCAGCGTAGAAGAATTACGTCTAATATCCTTTATACCAGAAGTGGCCCACAGTGGTCACCATATAATAAAACTTAATACAACACTATTTTATTGAAGTCCTTGTCAATAGGATAGCATTCTGCTAAACCGGAACAGTGAAAAACCATAAACTTGGACTCATCCTTGAAAATGTTCCCACCTTCAAAATAATACGAAGTTACACATTCGTATTAAAATATTTTCCCATTGGTTGAGGACTTCACAGTTTTGAAAGCACTTTATACCCATGTGACCACATTTCAGCCTTGTGTCAACATAGGAAAGGACTTGGCCTAGGTATTGTCAGAAAGAAATAGGAGAGTATGTACCTTACTTCAGGCCCACAGGAAAGAGAAAAATTGGGACTTGAACCTGGTCTCGTGAATACTGTTCCTTAAGTCTGTTTGGGCTGCTATAACACCAGGCTGGGCATCTTATAAACAGCAGAAATTTCTTGCTCACGGTTCTGGAGGCTGGGAGTCTTGAGATCAGGCGTCAACATAGTCAGGTGAGGACCCTCTTCAGGTCTCAGACTTCTCCCTGTGTCCTCATATCGGGGAAGGGGCTGGGGATCTCTGTCTTTTATAAGAGCACTAATGCCATTCATGAGGTTCCAGCCTCATGACTTAAGCTCTTCCCAGAGGCCTCACCTCCTACTACCATCATCACAGTGTCCTTCTGTTTCTGGAAGGACAGTGGAGCATAGGAGCTGTTTTTTAAATGTAATTTTGTTTGTCTGTTTGCATTCCTGAAGAAGTTGGGTAACTGCATGAACACCCCAGAAAAGCTGAAATCTGCAGATTCCTCTTAGATGAAGATTTGAATCTTTTAAAATGGAGACTAGTAACTGCCTGTGCTGCTCAGGGACTCGCAGAAAGGCTGTTGTTTCTCGGGGCTTCCATGCATTTCTCTTGTTATCAACAAAAACAAGTTCCCTCCTCCAGTGTATATTTTGGGGCTCAGAACTTAAACCTGTGTCAGTGTCCCAAGTTTGTCGTTAATCTACTGCAGATATCAACCATGTTATATACAGAATAATCTCATTTATAGTTTCTTTGGCTTCTGATTATGAAATGTGCCTTAACTCACGGGTGTTAGATATGCCAAAAACCACTTTTGCCCCAAAGAAAAATAGCTGGTATCCTGTGAACACTACAAAAATATTTTCAATGTGCAGTAAGTACACAGTTGAAGTACATTGCTGGCTAGCTTCCAGTTCAGAAGTGGAATATAAACTTAATAGGTTTACTTTTTAAAAAGTTACAAAAGTGCTACAGGTGATTCTTGGTTTTTTTTTGTTTGTTTGTTTTTTTGCAGTACGCGGACCTCTCACTGCTGTGGCCTCCCCCGTTGCGGAGCACAGGCTCCGGACGCGCAGGCTCAGCGGCCATGGCTTACGGGCCCAGCCGCTCCGTGGCATGTGGGATCTTCCCGGACAGGGGCACGAACCCGTGTCCCCTGCATCGGCAGGCGGACTCTCAACCACTGCGCCACCAGGGAAGCCCGAGGTGATTTTTTTTTTTAAAACATCAGACATTACAATGGTATATAAAGTGAAAGTCAGAATCCTTCTTTCCCCCATTCCTATCTCCCAGAAGTAATCACTGCCCACCATTTTCTCTATTTTACTATGTATATATGCGTGTATATGTGCATATACATGCACTTGTATGCACACGTGTATATATGCACATATCATTTTTAAATACTATACATTCAATTTTGAATTTAATTCAACCAATAAATTGTATTTGCAGATAATAAAGATTATCTCTAATATTGCAATGCTGCCAACGGTACTGCAGTAAACATTCTTATACATAAAGCTTTGTCTACTTACATCTTTCTACTCAATTAAATAATTTCCTAAAAGTGGTATGTCTGAATCAAAGGGAACGTACATTTGATGTTTTAAGTATTGCCCAAAAAAAGTGATGCCCATCCACTTCCATCAACAGCATATGGATGCCAACTCTTCCTGCCTTTGTCAGCACCCTTATTTTGGTCAGTCTCATAAATGAAAAATAATGCCTTACTGTTTTAATTTTCAATTTATTTTATTACTAGTAAAATTGAGCTTTTCATAGTTTAATGTCATTTGAATTTCGTCTGTAAATTGTGATATTTTTCTATTTTTATATTGGGGAATCAGTGTGTTTTAAATCATTATTATTTACAGTGACCACTGATGCCATTACTTTTAATTCAGACACACAAAGATCAGTGGTCTGTAGGCCATTGGTATATGTCTCTTAAAGCTTATGGGTATTATCACTGCCACACTGACAAAGCAAGGGAATACTATAGAGCAGACAGCTACCAAAATAACCAGAAGGCCCACATTGGTTCCCGAGAACTTGAAGACCTGATGGGTACACTGCCAAGGGTATAGATACACTGCCTGCAAATACGTAGAAGGTTTGGGAATCCCATCCACTGCCACACTGCCTACCCCTTTGGTGGATGTATTCAAGTTAGAAAAATATGTGTTCTCCAAAATACCTGTCTGCTAACCTGCTATGAATCTACAGTGACTTTGAGTCAAATGCCCGGTAGCTGAGCAATGCACTGCTTGTCCAGTCATAAGTGGTAGTCCTAAAATTCTCCCTGAGGCTGGCCCATGGATCGTGGTGGAAGAAGAGTGGGCTTTGACGACCTTAGGGTTACCAGGGGGAAAGGGGTGAGTGGGGGACGGATAGATTGGGAGTTTGGGATTGACATGTACACACTATTTAAAATAGATAACCAGGGCTCCCTGGTGGTGCAATGGTTAAGAATCCACCTGCCAATGCAGGGGACACGGGTTCGAGCCCGAGTCCAGGAAGATCCCACATGCCGCGGAGCAACTAAGCCCGTGCGCTACAACTACCGAGCCTGCGCTCTAGAGCCCGCGAGCCACAACTTCTGAGCCCACATGCCACAACTACTGAAGCCCACACGCCTAGAGCCTGTGCTCCTCAATAAGAGAAGCCACCGCAATGAGAAGCCCACGCACCTCAACAAAGAGTTAGCCCCCGCTCGCCACAAGTAAAGAAAGCCTTCATGCAGCAACGAAGACCCAATGCAGCCAAATATAAAGTAAATAAATTTTTTTAAAAATCTCAACAAAAAAATAAATAATAAAAAAAATAAAATGATAACCAACAAGGACCTACTGTATAACACAGGGAGCTTGGCTCAATATTCTGTAATAACCTAAATGGGAAAAGAATTGGCAAAAGAATGGATACTTGTATGGTATCCAATACTGAATACTTTGCTGTATACCTGTAACTAACACATCATTAATCAACTCTACTCCAATATAAAATAAAAATTAAAAAAGAGAAAAGAGTGGGCTTTGAGAAGCAAGTGATTCTGAAATTCTCACTTTTACGTTCTGTGAAAAGATAGCGTGAAATAAAGTCAAGATACATTGGCCCAACGGTAGGTGAACTGTTTCATAAAGTCTTGAATGTACATTTACATAATTAAGGAGTTTGAAACAAGGTTATGAAACGATTTTTTTCCCTGTCCCCAAATTTTAGGAGACGTTACTCTTAGCTAGAGGTACAAGTATTGTCCCTCAGGTTGCCAATCCCAGCAGTCACAGGGAGGCCATCTCAACATTTAGCTGTCACCTATGCTAACGTCTCTCTTCTTTGAACGCTTCTCTCTTAATCGTGAGTTCTAAACTTCCATTATTATTTTCTATTGTTTTTTTCAGAACATTGATATAAATATCTTGCAATAATTATAATGATTAAGATAATAATAAATAGGCACAATTTATTTAATGTCACTTTTCATAAATTAATTTGGGAGAAAATTTGTGAATTCTGCAATTATTTTAATCGAATGTTCCTATGCCTCGGTAAAAATGAGCCTGTTTTTCCAATGCCAAATAGAGGGTCAGGCTCTTTTAAAACTGCAAAGGGAACTTGTGATTATATATGTCTCCCTTGTGAGAGAGAAGAAAGCGAAAGCCCAGTTTTAGAACTTCATGACCTTGAATTAGGCAGTGGTTTCTTAGGTGTGACACCAAAAACGCAAGCAACCGAATAAAAAATAGATAAATTGGACATCAGATTAAAAACTTCAAGAAAGTAAAGGGACAGTCCGCAGAATGGGGGAAAATACTTGCAAAATCTGATAAGGGCCTAGTATCCAGAACATATAAGGAACTCTTAAAATCCAACAAACAATTAAAAATTTTAAATGGGCAAAGTATTTGAATAGACTTTTCTCCAGAAACATATATCAATAGTCAACATACAAATGAAAGGATGCTGAAAATTATTAGTCATTAGGGAAATGCAAATCCAACCCATAAAGAGACAACACTTTACACTCATTACGATGACTATTTTAAAAAAATGGAAAATAAGTGTTGGAGAGGACATGGAGAAATGGAAGCCTTCGCTTATTGCTGGTGAGAAAATGGTGCAGCATCTTTGGAGAACAGTTTGGAAACTCCTCAAAAAGTTAAACAGAGTTACCAAATGAACCAGCAATTCTACTCCTAGGTATATACCCAAGAGAATTGAAAACGTATTCACTCAAAAACTTGTGCATGAATGTTTACAGCAGTATTTTTTATTTTCCCGAAAGTGGAAACAGTCCAGATGTCCATTCACTGATGAATGGATAAACAAAATGTAGTACATCACAGTGGAATATTATTCAGACGTAAAAAAGAATGAAGTACTGACACATAGGATGAACATACCTATGTATATTCATACCACAAGGATGAACCTTGAGAACATGCTAAGTAAAAGAAGGCAGTCACAAAAACCACTTATTATGTGATTACATGCATAGATAATGTCCAAAATTGGCAGATTCATCATGGCAGAAAGTAGATTCATGGTGGCCAGTAGGTAGGGGGAGGGGAGAGTGGGAAGGGACTGTTACTGGGAACTGAGTTTCTTCTGGGGGGATAATGAAAAGGTTCTGGAATTATTGGGGATGTTTGTACATCCTTGTAACTATACTAAAAACCACTGACTTGTACACTTTTAAAAATGACATTTACAAAGCTACTGAAAGCACAGGACTTAGAATCAGGAGGCCTGGGTTTACATCTCAGCCCCATTTGTCACTAATTGTGTGAACCCAGTAAGGTCATTTAACTTCTGCCTCTGTTTCTCATCATTAAAATAGAGATAATATCTGTTTGACAAAGCCGTTAGGGTTGAATGAGATAGTCACTGTGGAATCACGTAGTGTCGTGCCTCAAGTGCAGTAGGTTTTCCATAAATGCCAGGTGAATTGAAATTGGATGAATACAAACAGGCCTTGTAGGCCTTGCGTATAGATCACGTATGTCTGTCATAGGCAGTCAGTCTTGGGTCAGTGAGTCTCCTTTGTGCAAAAGAAAGATTGTGCTTCATGTCAAAGGCAATATAATGTAATGGTTAAGCTTGTAAACTGAAACCATGCTGCCTGGGTTCAAATCCTTTCTTTGTTTCTTACTGGCTATATGACCATGGACAGATTACTTAGCCTATACTCTGCATATCTTAGAGTTCCCATCTATAAATGAGAATAAAAACAGTACTTACTTTATGGGGTGTTAAAAGTGTTAAACGGTGCAAAATAAGTGTTCAGGAAGTACTGAGTCAAAAACCATGGAGCAGGTGAGATGTTAGCCCCTAGAGGGCAGTGAGCATTGTCTCATTCACCTCTGTGATACATAGTAGAGACACTAAATATTTGTTGAACTGAGTATGGTCTTCAATAAACAGAGAAGAACCAAGCTCAGGGCTATACCATTGCTCTATTTGTCTCCAAATTAAGCTAATTGGACAGTGTAACCCAAACAAATCGCAATTCACGCTCGTATTCCTTGGAATTAATGCAAAAATTAAACCATCTTTATTTCGTTTAGTTTGTATTTAAAGCTAAAGCCTTTTAAAACACCAATACCATCATTTTAAGAACATCTTTCTGTTGGTTGTGGTACTATTCTTAGGACAATACTAGTTCGACCTGTGTACGCAAGTATTTACTTTTAATTTAGACCCAACTTCACTTTTCTAGAAAAATTACACCTTGTTCTATAATACCTTTCTTTCTAGATCACAAATTACTTAATAATTGAACAGGGAATATTCATTTAGAGATAAATACACCTGGACCTAGGTTGACGGGTCTCAACCTAGTTGATGAAGCCAAGTCATCAACTCTGAAGATGGAAGAACCCCTGAGGTCATCTTGT